TTTAATATATAATATAAATTTAGATGATAATTTATTTTAAAATATATTTTATAATAAAAAATTTTAAGTAAAACATAAATCTTTTGATATTTTTTATTTTGATTTTTTTAATCAATGTATACAATAAATAAAAAGTACAAAATGTAAATATGCATGTTATAAATTTTATTTTATCAAAAATTAATTTTTTAATATATTACATTATAATATATGAGTATTAATGTGTGTATACATATATATTATAATTAAACTTTTTAAAAAAATTTGATTCGTTATTAAGAAGTATTTTTTATTATATATGAGAATTAATTTTCTTTGAAAGTTTAATATATGTCAAATAAATGAACATCTCTTCCAAATTTATATTTTATACATATGATAATTTAAACATATATATTTATTTTATTAGAAAATAACTTTTTTTTAAAATATATTATTTTTTGGATAAAAATAGTATATGTGTATTAAATGGTAGTGGGGGCACTTGTCCCCACTATAACATTAATAGATCCGTCCCTGCGTCTAAGACAATTTTTTTAAAAAAAATTGAAAGTCTTTTTTATAAGATATTTTATAATTTTTATGAAATTTTAATTTTAATTTTCATGTTATGTTTATATTAAAGATAGGGAGAATATGTGTTTCTCTCTCTTACCTTTTGAACACTTCAATTGTCATTTATCAATATTGATAATTTTCTTATTTCTGATGAGAATTTAGTAATAAGTAAAGAAGATAAAATTGATTAATTATAATTTTATTTTATATACCTAATAAAATCAAGTAATATAAATATTTATGTTGGTTTGCGTGATTCATTTTTAAAAATATCTTATAATAAGGTCTAGTGTAATGACTCGCCATGGTCCCTATTCCTAGTGGCATCGCACTACTACTATTGGACTAAGAGAATATTAAAACTAGATAACTCATACACACATGTATATATAAAAATAATAATAACTGTGTTTCTAAGTATAAAATATAACACTATATATGTACAGTCATTCAAAATAATAAACCCATAGTGTCGGTCAAGCACAAACAACAGTTACCCAAGAAGGTAACTTTGACACTAGGACAAAACTCCTCATCTCGCAGCGATCACCTCAACTTCAAGCTAGCCCTGACCTGCTCCCATACAAAGTATGATCATCGCAATCCAACCACATGGAAACAGAAGGGTAAGCTAGAGTTCAAAAAGCAATTATACAAGTACAGAATAAAATATATACTACAAAATGCATCCAAATCGAGTTCCAAAGAGGCTCCCATCTCCAATCAATCATCAATTCATCAAACATGAAGTCAACACCACACATTTCATCATACTAGAAATCATGAAGTAATGACAACTCATGACAGATATCAATGCATATAAATCATCTAATGCGTCGTCACGCATACACATAGGAGATCTCCCTAATAACAGAGCAATATAAGTGACATCTCAATCCTACCGAAACCATACCAATCGTTTTCACGCCCAATGCGCCCGCTCGGTCACAACTAAACATGATATATATCCTCACTCGGATTTACTCGAATGATATCATTTGCATAATTGGAAGTCCAGTTTCACCGTCAGGTATAACACAGCTCGGTACAAGCTTACTACGACCTTTACAT